TGCCCTGTAATAAACATTGTACCGACTGTGTCCACACCTGCTGTGTACATTGTGGCCACACTGGGCCACACTGTACTTACATGATGCTGTTGTGACCAATTATGTCACAATAGAAGGGCATAAAGTGCCATTAAAAAAATCAAAATTGTGTTGAAAATTCATACCTGCAAAAACTAATGCTGTTGAAAATAAAGTTGTAAATCTTGATTAGGAAGAGCAGACAAGAAAGGAATTGTTCCCCTGTAATTTAAGGGGGTGCCTTATCCAAGGTCACCATTGTAGAAGGAGAGAGACCCTTAAAGGCCTCTGGATAACTATTAGAGGAAAAAAGGACCTCTTTGTTCTGAAAATTATCATAGACATCCAGCTAGTAAGATTCAGTGGATGAGATCTTTAGTAGACAACCAGAGGTACAGTACTAAAGTCATGAATAATAGGGATTTCAGGTGATTTGATGCTTACTGCAGCCAGACTGGCAATTGAGATTGCTATTGGAATGTGCTGGTGACAAGTTCTGCAACTGAATGTACAAAAGGCAACCAGGAGAGAGGTGGGTCTAGAGGGGGTTCGAGTCAGGGTGGAGAAACCGGTAGTTAATGCCAGGCTAGAGGGAATCTTTGAGAGTGTATGTGAAATGCAATCTTGGGAAGAAGGGTAAGAGAACCTTTCTTCTTTGCATGATTCCTCACTGTAGAAGTCAGCCTCAGCCAGGTGATTATTACAATAATTTCCCAACTGTCAGAAAAAGTTATCAGTCTCAAAGAGGGAAGAAACCAATTAAAGAATATTCAGGTAGGTTAGGTGTGGTGGTTTTTTTTCAGTTAACTGTTTCTAATTAGCTCTGTTCCAAGGTATTTAAAGATTAAACTGATAATGTTTTGGAGCGATTAGTGTCTGTGTCTGGTTTCATCTCGTGGAGAATGAGTAGACGTACTGGAAGACGGGAGGAGAGTAGGTATAATGCCAGTTTTTAAAGAGGAGGGAGAGAGAAGTGTTGGTTTTATAGGTTAAAGGCATGTGCTGTCATCAGAGTTTCAGTCCTGGGAAAATACTGGAACAAGTAAATGCACACTGCATTTTTAACACCTGAAAGTACAAGAAGAATAGCCATCAGCACAGATTTGTCAAAAAGATACAGTCTTTTACTTCTACCGTGGCCTTGTGGACAAAGAAAAAGCCTTGAATGTTATATTTCGCTTTTCATAAGGCTTGGACACTTTCACACAAGACATGCTTTTAAGCAAGCTGGGAAATACGGTAAACATGCAACTACCATAGGCTGGGTGGAAAACTAGAAACTGTGTTTAAGAAGCAGCTCATTATAAAAATGAGAAGATTTCTTAAAAGGAGTTCTGCAGGGCTTTGTGGTGACTCAGTGTTTTTCAGTATTTCCATTAAGGATCTGAATGATGGAATAGAGTGTATACTTATTAAATTTGCAACAATACCAAGCTGGGAAGGACTGCAAGTACATTGCAGGACAGGATTAGAATTCAAAATAATCTTGATAAATTGTAGGTATCATCTGGAAAAATAAGATGCTATTCAAAAACATCAAATGCAAGGTGTTTACACAGCAATAACAAACTGCACAAATACAGCATGGAAAATCGCTGGTTAGAGAGCAGTTCCATAAACAAGATTATAATGGATTAGATGTTGTGTATGAATTTACATTGCCATCTTCTCTGGGAAAAAAAAAATCCATTACACACAAGGAAAAGCAAGGACCACTAGATAGCAGATAGTTCCGATGGTAAAATGTGTTGAATAGTTGGCTTATGAATTGTGATCTCTTCACAAAATTAAATTAATGACTTTTTGATACATGAAGGTAACTGATACAGCTTTGTACTCAAAAAATTAGGTCGTATGTGAAAAAACACACAGACTATACTCCCTTTTATGTAATTTCTATTTAATGGTAAGGCTTAGGGGGGTTATTTATTTCGTTGTTTTGCATAAAGCATACTAATTTGCTTGATTGAGTCAGGAGAGGGTATTGAAAGAGACCAGACCCATAATAGATCAGGACTTGTACTGTTTGCATACTAGACTGCAGGGTTGTAGCGAGGCTAATGTCATATACCAACTTCAATTAATTTTTAAAGAAATATCAAACACCGGTCTTTAGATCCTCTAGCAATGAAAATATTCTCTTGAAACATATTATTTATGTGTAAGGTAAATTGTATTCTAGCTCTTTGAGTCCACAGGGCTTTGAAACTTTCTTTTCTGGGACTTTGCAAAATCCAGCCTGTCCTCTGTCTTATGTGTATTTTACCTCCTTGGTGTTACTTGGAAATTTTTGGATAAGCTTCATATTCCAATTTCAATTTGCAGTTATCCTTCTCCAGATCTCCTAGGCTCATCTGCAGATTTTTGGATGATAATACGCTTTGTAATGACGCTGTTATATTGTCAAGCCTTTCAATACATTTTAAATGGTTTAGCTCTGTTAATTCTGCCCACAGACTTCTTTAAGGGCATTTGCAGGTATGAATCTTGGATGATAGTGACTTTCTGAAGTTTCTGGTTTTCAGTCCTTACTGCCCAAACTCTGAGACTTTCTTTGCTGAAAATGTAAATTTCAGGCTTCTGTGAACAAAAGTGGTAAAATCAAAAAGAAATACCCAGAAAATAACAGTACCTGGGTTTACCCACTTCAACCATAATTTGTAGCTTCTTCATTTTAGCATCATCTTCAGAAACCTCACTGGCTTTTTGTTGGCAATATATCTGTTTAGCTTTTTGGTACTGAAGTTGCTTCTAATGTTTTGGTATGCTAATAGTACACGGTTCAACCCTTCTACTCCTTGTTTCTCATCATTTATATTAATACAGTGAACAGAAATTACTTTTTCCAATTTGCATTGATACAGTACGCTGATTATGTAATTTCTTCCTGGGGCACCCTTTGTTCCTGAAGCTGAGCAGCACCTTCAGAATTCTTTAATTCTCTTCAGATTAATCCAGTTGACCTTAAATTCTTCTGGAGTGTCGTATTTCAAGAGTTTTCAGTCCCTCGTCCCCCACCTGCTCTTATACACCAAATTTCCTTCATATTTCTCTCCTTTTAAGGCCTGAAGGTAGAAGGTAATCTCTGTGGTGTTTATGGATGGAACAGTTGTCTAAAATCTGAATTTTGAATTTTTGAGTTGGTTTTAGATAGCAAGAGATTAGCATGAAACATGTTTTTGTCTCTTAACAGCTGTATACCATGCTTAGTATTTAAATCACTAGAAATTTGTAAAGATTAACTGTTTAGCTTGTGGGACCCTGTCTGTGAGTTCAGGGGGTAGCAGATGAAGCGATGTGGTGGCGCTGACTCAGTTTTAGGTTTACACTTGAGCTGTTCCCAGTTCCTTGTTTGGACCACTTCAAAATCCTTCTTTAGTGCACACACAAGTTTGTGTTTGTGTACGAGTCTTGCTGTATCCCATGAGAGGTAGACACCGCTGATGAACTGATGCTTCTGCAGAAATGATAAGGACCTTTATTTGTAAAGTGTTTTTAGCACAGAAGTATAGGCAATACAGGAAATTGTAGATGTTTGTACTTTAAATTTGAGAACATCTGCATTTACTGGGGAAAATGATGTTGCATTTAACTTGCTAGAATTACATTTATATGTAGTTATTGCTGATGTAAACTATGTGTTCTGTCTGAGTTCTTTTGCTTCCTCCTTAACAGGCTTATTGGTACTAAAAGTCTGTGGTAAGGTTTATTTTATTTAACCATTTTTATTTTGCTTAAAACTACTGTCTCTTAAAAGAAATTTGATACTAGCAGGAAATGGGAGATTTTCTTTTTTAAATGAAAAAAAGACAAGCTGAACTGTAACATTAGAACACAAGAGAAAAATGAATATTTGGAAGATGAATATGGTCTGAAGGAAGAGGAAGGACAGAGAAAATAGAGTAGCAGTTGTAAGATGATCCTTGTAGTTTCATTCAACTATTTTCTTTCCTCTTCTTTTTTTCCAAATCCCCTCTACCAGTGCAAAAGAAAATAACTATGCTGTTTTTACATACCTATGCAAAATCTTTTTCTGGTGAATGTGTGCTGTACATGCAGTGATTAAATAGGCACTGTGTGACATCATTAAAGAACACATCCCAGAAATTTCTAGGATACACTGATAGACCACCATTATTTAGTTTTACTTTTTGGATGAAGGACATAATGTTTTTTCCTAACCTCTATAGGCGTTTATAATTCTGTTTGTTTGTTAAATTGTAATACACAGCAATGTCCTTCAATTATAAAATAGCATTTTAAAACTAGGGAACAGTATCCCCGTAAGAAGCACCATGATATGATCTTTTTTTGGTGAGAAAGAAAAATCTGTAAAACTTTGTTTCTGGGTCTCACTTTTATGTCAGGCAACCTTCACCACTGATTATGCTTCTGTTCCCTTTCACAACTCAAGGCCTTTTCCATAATGTTGACCATTTATCTAGACAAAATGACCCTCTAGTGCCCATTAGCACTTCTTATGAAATGGCAGCTCGGATGTGATGTGTTACCTACCTCCTGTGTAGAAGTCCCAGCGGCCTCTGAATGAAAGTACTAATCTTATTTGAAAGTGTATAGCTTGCTTCTGCAAGTAGGCTGTTATTTGGACACGGAGATTCAGTTTCTTCCATTGGCAAACACTGATGAGGTTAAAGGGGTTTCAACAGTCTTATAATATAGGGAGACGTATTTATTCATTATTTTAAAATAGCTAAGAAAATCAACAAATAATAATCTCTTTCCTATTCTCCAGTTTATTCCAAATACCTATTAAAATATCACTGAAAACGTATACTGTTGAGACAGATACAGAAACGGATTTGATTTTCATGTATTTAAACTTCAGATATTCTTCAGTACCTTTGTCTGAGCAGATTAGCTCCTTTTTAGTCGTCTTTTCTGCGAATTTAAGGCCACCACTTTATATTAAAAATGGCAGAAATACTTAGTGTGCTTTACTTTGTTTTGCTTTACCCTTTTAGCAGACAGATGATGCAGCACAGACCGATGGCCAGCAACAGACACAATCTTCTGAAAACACAGAAAACAAATCACAGCCAAAACGGCTTCACGTCTCAAATATACCATTCAGATTCCGGGATCCAGATCTTAGACAAATGTTTGGTGTAAGTACTCATACTTTATTTATGCTTTTTTATATTTGCATTGCAATAGGTATTTTATATTATAGGCAACCATGAGAGCAGTATCTCTGATTTAGGCTGTTTAACCCTTTTCAGTAAAGATTCTCTTTTCATTTATTTATAACCAAACATCTGATTTGCCAGTCACAGTTGGGAAAAGAAATTCTACTGATTCTACTATATGTGATACAGATGAGTGTATTCTATGTATTGTGCTGTTTTGTATTACATTCAAAAAAAGCTACCTACATTGGCTTAAAATATTGAATGCATATGTATTACTGCTGTACACATCTGGATTTATATGCCTGTATTTATTGATTTTTGGAAAGCATGATGTAAAATAGTCAATGCTTGACCTCATGAGCAAGGGACCCAAATCTACAGAAGTCAGACATGGGCTGAATTTAAGCAGGAAGTCCAGGAGTAGGAATCCTCACCCGTCCCCACAGGTATTGTAGGTCTATAAGCTTCTAAAGACTTTGCCAGTAGTTTTCTATAAATCTCTCAATTTTTGCTTTTGCCCAGGCCATTAGCTACCTTCATGTGCATTGGCTGAGTTTCACACATCTCATATGTGCCATCAATTCTAGGCTCATAACCATGAGAGGATAGACCTGGTTTCTTCTCCCTGCTCCAACAACTTTTAGGTTTATTTTGAAATGTCACTAAATAAAATCAAGAAATAGTACTTGATCAGCTATTAGAACCCAGCTTTTCCTTTTCCAAGTTAGTACTCTTAAGTATTTCTGTTCCTCTTGCTTTCTTATTTCTGACCCACTAAAACTTAATTCTCTTCTGCGTTACAGTTTGTTATACAGTGCAGCATCTAGCACTTCATGGCACTACACTTCTCTCCATCTTTCATGTTCAGTTCAGATTTTTAAGTTCTTCTAATGTCTTAGTGAGTGAATGACATTGTGAGTGAAGACGTGTTTTTCAGTATTTATTTGTATGAAGTGAAGGAAACGGTGCTGGAGAAAGAATCCTGGTATAGTATTGGTAAATGAGAGTGACTGTTTTGCTGTGTCTGACTTGCTACAAGTAACCTCCCCTAAATGCAGCTTACAGCACATCAGCAAAATAGCAGAAGGCATAATAATTAACCCTCCAGGGAAAAAGATGCAAATTTATTTAAATTAAGCAAACCACTTAAAATAATGGATTTTATTTGAAAGTACACTAAATGAAAGGATTTTTTTTTTTGAGGGATTGTAGTAATTTATAAGTTAATAAAAACTACACTTCTTTTCAATATTTCTAAGTCTTAGGTCTCAAAAGACTAACACTGGAGAATGGCTAGAGTTTTCCAGCTTTAGAATGACTTGGTAAAAATAAACTTTTAGCTTCTGAATTGATATAAAAAAGAAATTTATGCAAGTGTGAGTTGACATATCTGATACGAAATATGGTAGCGCTGCATCATGACCGCGTTATACACACAGCAGATGATCTTTTTGCATGGACATAAATACAGCAGAGGAGGGCTGTTTAAACTTTAAGTCAGTGTCTGCTTATAGGCTAAAGTTGCAGTTAAAACATTAATTAGATGGTGAATGCAAGAACATAAAATAAGCCAAGGGATAACAAATGATGGTTGATTTTCAGAACCAAGTTGAAACACTTTAATAAGCTAGAGAAGGAATACTATCTTTCTGGCCTGTAATTGTTTATTATATATTAAAATACTAAAGTATAGGCTCATTTCTGCAGTTCCTTGGACTATTGTTAGATTAGTCTTCATTTGCCTGCCTCTAATTTCTGCCTTTTTGTTTAATATATTGTGTCACTTATCAGTGTTAACACTGATGCATGCTTCATGTTAATGACATATGAAATAACAGAAATGACCCACTGATACATTACAGTGTCCCATCACAAAATGTGTCGTATCAGAAAGTGTTCTAACTAAACACTGCCCGAGTCAAACATTTATTCTCTTACTAAGGCAAGTCCAGTGGAGCCTTTTTCTTTGGGATAGCAGCTGTGGTCAAGTTTTGTGTGTGTGGACAATGCCTAGATGATTGTGAGTGCTATTGTAAGGTCAATAGTAATAACAGTTACTACTAATATTATAATAAAAGTGCAATTCTGAGCAGGGAAAAATCCCCAACAAGTAAGTATCCATTCTAGTTTTCCAAATTATACTCTAGTAAGACAAGAATTGCTTAGGGAGTAATGGTTATCCCTTTTCAGCAAGGGTGGAGAGAAATCTTCGCTCCTTGAGGCCAGTGACAAATCTCCCAGTTGGTTTAGTCTTACTCCTGTAAAGCAGAAGTAACCAAACTTGTTTACCTGTCCTGGAAAGCAGCCGCAAAAAGTCTGGTGAAACAAAGGTTCTTCAGAGGGAAGGATGACCAGAGGGTGACAGTGTTCACACAGCTGTTAGTCCTCTCCGTAGTGATGTTTAGTGCACTCCAAGCAAATTAACCAGTAGCATATTACATATGAAAAAAACGGTGATGGCAGCTGGACTGGATGGATCACAAGGAAGTGTGATACTAGGTGCAAAGGCAAAATAAAAACAAGAAATTGGGGACTTTCACTTCACTGTCATCACAGCTTAATGATGATTTCCTCTTTGTCAGGTGGTTTCACTGAACTTAAAGTTCATAAATGCATATGTGGAATGATAGTGACAAGGGTAATGATACGTACAATTTAGTTGTAATATTGATCTGGCTCTTCTTCAGTGTGTCTTTTTTGGTGCTTGACTATCTTTGATTTTATATTCTTTAACTTTTTTATGTGGTGTACCGTTTTCTGAAACAAACATTTGTACTGTATATGATAGAAATGTTGAAGTTATCTTATTTTCATGTAACTTTTCTATTTCTTTGCAGCAATTTGGTAAAATCTTAGATGTTGAAATTATTTTTAATGAGCGAGGCTCAAAGGTAAGCAGTTGAATTCAACCATGGAATTTTTTAATTTGTTTAAAATATTTATATGAGTAAAAGGAAACAACTGCACTGCTGTGAAAAATAATGTCTGAAATTCCATGTTAGTGAAAAAAAATCTTCTGAGCTGTCATTCAGTTTCCTAAGCAGTATGAAAATCATTGGACTCATGTTATATCTTTTAAAGGGGGTAATTTTAGCTACTCCAAACTGTCATCTGTTTTACGGGAACGTTGATTTCTGCTGTCTTTATTCTTCAATGGTAATTATCTTGTTTATTTTACAAGATGAGTCCATACTTACAGATATTTGTAGGAAAGTGTAGGCAGGTTTGTATTAGTACAGGTATTTTTTCCCCTATTGAAATGAAAGATGATAATGATACCTAATAACTATCCTCTTTAGTAATTAGCTGAGAAAATATGTGGTTGTTCTAGATTATCTAAGTGCAGATGTTTTCCTCTTTAGTTAAAGCTTCAGTACACCAACCCTTTGAAAACAATCTATTGTTGAACTAAGAGTTCTTATTGTATTGCAAACATTTATTTTTCTGAAAATTACTTTGCCTTAAATGCATACTTCAATTTATTCAGTATTTAAGAAATAAAGCAAGATAGAATGGCTGTGACTGCATTAGCATCGTTAGCTGCTGCAAAACTATAGCCCAGTATGCTTCACCTATGGTATCAGCTGCATTATAAGGGTTTATGTGTATGTCATATGCATGATATTTTTTTCCTTTTCCTCCCGTGTCAGACATACTAGAATGTTTATCCACCAGTGCTTCAGTCTTCCTGTAACTCTTATATATGATTTATAATAAGCAATGGAATTATTTTCCTGTTACAGACATACTGTAATCTGACATTTTTTTTAAGAATCAGATATATCATAAATCTCTTTTAAATCAGATATATTTTAATTCTGTTAATTTTTCCATTATGTGTTTGTATTTATATTCTAAATTTAAAACTATCACTTTTTTTTTTCCTTAAATAGAATAGGTGAAATTTCCTGGTTTATATTCCAAAATTATTCTGACATTCATTAATTAGTCCCCTCACTCGCTAGCCTAAACCCAGTTGGAATGTTTACTGGTTTTTCAGTAAACTACTGAAATGTATGGAATTTGGTGGCTTAGAATCTCCTACTCTGGCTGAAATTTATTATCTTTAAATTATGACTGTTCAATAGTGTTTGCAAAAGATGTTGATTGTCCAGAACCTGCTTCTGCTGGATAGTATTACAAATTTCAAAAGACATCTCACACTTGCCACCTTTGATTGGTTCTGTTGAAGATGGAGTGGAACTGAGTACGTGTCATGGTGGTGGTGGTTTACACATTCGTTTAGCCATTAAATCTTACATGTGTAGGACTTTTAACGACCACGTCTGCATCAGACTGCATAAGTATAAGGCTTTTTTAAAATATTTGGGGGGTGGGGTGAGGAGGTATTTCTGAATTGAGGTTTTTTTAATAGTGATCTTGCAGTAGTGAAAACATCCCAGTGCCTTGCGCTAAAAACGAGCTCCTGGAAAGGATTTCACAAGGAAGAGGTTTTTCTAGGTAGGCTTGTAATGTCACTACCTCAGTTACACCTTTGTGTTAGAGACTCTAAGACCTATTCGAGGTATTTCAGTTTTTTTAATAGTGATCTTGCAGTAGTGAAAACATCCCAGTGCCTTGCGCCTTGCGCGAGCTCCTGGAAAGGATTTCACAAGGAAGAGGTTTTTCTAGGTAGGCTTGTAATGTCACTACCTCAGTTACACCTTTGTGTTAGAGACTCTAAGACCTATTCTTATTTAAAACTTCTACGCTATCCAGTGCTGTGTTGGTGCATCCAGGCTGGCTCTGGGTAAGCTGCTGAAGATACTTAAAGCAGTTCTGTGATGGATCTCATTGCTTATGTATGCTGCTTCTCATCTTGTTTAGAATAAGTATAAGGCTTTTTTAAAATATTTGGGGGGTGGGGTGAGGAGGTATTTCTGAATTGAGTTTTTTTAATAGTGATCTTGCAGTAGTGAAAACATCCCAGTGCCTTGCGCTAAAAACGAGCTCCTGGAAAGGATTTCACAAGGAAGAGGTTTTTCTAGGTAGGCTTGTAATGTCACTACCTCAGTTACACCTTTGTGTTAGAGACTCTAAGACCTATTCTTATTTAAAACTTCTACGCTATCCAGTGCTGTGTTGGTGCATCCAGGCTGGCTCTGGGTAAGCTGCTGAAGATACTTAAAGCAGTTCTGTGATGGATCTCATTGCTTATGTATGCTGCTTCTCATCTTGTTTAGAGTTACTTCAGGTATAGCTACATAGTATTTTGATTTGCAGAAGTACCCTTAGATTCTCTCAATTAAATAAAAGGTTAAAAAACAGGATTAGGAATAAGAGGAACTTTTTTTTTAAAAAAAAATCTGATCATTTCATGTCCATTCTGTAGGAGTTAAGATGCACCAGATTAAAGTCCCGTAAGTGGCAGTGCTTATCTGTGTTTTCATAAAATCCCACTGAAACTGAAAGGCCTACTACGTGGTCTCAAACAGAGTACAGGTAAAAAAGTGTGCAGGATCAAAATTCAAATTTATTCCTAGCTGCAGTTTGGCGTAAAAGAATTGCTACAA